TAGAGAACGCAGCCGGGGGTCGCGGCACAGTCGTTGCAGCAGTTAGCGGCCGTCGGCTGCGATGTTGATGCAATGTCGTTACCGGGGTAGTCGATGTTGCTCTGGTAGTTGGTGCAGGTCGTTGGCGTTGGCGTTGGTGTCGGTGTTGGCGTCGGTGTTGGCGTCGGTGTCGGTGTCGTGCCAAGAAACCCCGACTGTGCGCCCGGCTTGTTGGACGGCGCGCCTTGAGCCGACTTGAGGTAGCACGTGCCGCCGCTCTGGTTCGTCCAAACGTAGAGGATGCACCCGGGCGTGGCCGCGCAGTCGTTGCAGCAGTTGCTGGGGTTCGCTTGAGACGTCGACTTGATGTCGTTGCCAAAGTAGTCGATGTTGGGCTGCAAGTTGTTGCACGTACTAGGCACGAGGAACGCCGCCTGCGCACCCGGCTTGTTGGACGAGGTGCCCGCTGCGCTCTTGAGGTAGCACGTGCCACCGCTCTGGCTCGTCCAGACATAGAGGATGCACCCCGGGGTGGCCGCGCAGTCCCCGCAGCAATTGCTGGGGCTCGCTTGGGACGTCGACTTGATGTCGTTGCCAAAGTAGTCGGTGTTGGGCTGGATGGTGGAGCACGTCGCCGCGCCGACGACGCCGATGGAGGCCGCCGAGAGCGAGAGCAGAAGCGCTGCGTAGGTCCCGAAGCTGCGCATGACAAATCGGATTCAAAAGTGAGCCGCTCCGTGCAGCTCGTACTGGAAACAGCTTGCGGTTTGTATCCACATACTAACCCAAAGACAGGACCATATCTCGAAGCGCCCAACGGTTGAGGCTAGGGCTACGCGTCCCGACCAGTCTTACCCTTGTACGTCATTCCAAGTTTGGTCACCGGCGGCTAAAATTTGACGCATGCAACCTTTGACATCTCGTCTGCTGAGCCGGGAACTCGGCTCAGGTCGCTCGTAGGGTCGTCTCAGCCTCGGGAAACCAAGACAAGAGATGTGAAGCGTACCACGTCGAAAGCGACGAAGCTCGAGATGGCTGCGTTGGATGACGCGGTCGCATCATAGCAGCTTGTCCGAGTACGCCATGAGCATCGACCACAGCGCATCGTTGAACAGCACCGTCGCCGCCATGCTGATGCAGAAGCTGATGGCGCTGTCATATCCGGACAACACTCCACGACGCGGTGATTGGTTGATTCAAATGCTTTTTGAACGAATGAAAGTGGCTCGGCGCGTGCTTTTTAGCCAATCCAAACATATTCCAGCGTTCGGTTTAAGCGCGGGTGGGATTGAGTGGCTACCTTCCTCATACCGCCATGAGCTGGCCCCAAAGCTACCGCTGTAGCAAGTGAACGACAAGCTCAGAAAGGCAACGAGCACGGTGCGCCACGTCTGTGGCCCGTGTCATCAAGATTTCCTTCGCATGCAGCTTTACCCCACCAAGGAGTGCTCACGAGAAGCGATGATCCGAGTGGGCGCGAGGTAGGTCTGCGGAGAACCATGCACAATACTGGAAGGTGGTGAGATGCGAGGGCGGTCGACCTTCTTGCCACCGCTTGGTCCTACTCGTTTCTTCGTAGCGCTACCGAGCTGGGTTGCACTGTCTGTGTCGTTGGTGAGTCGATACCACAGAGGTGCGTCATTTGACTCTGGGCTACTTCAAGCGATGCTTGGATCGCGGCAGCTACTCGCCGGAAGAAATGAAAAATATATGCATTCCCACCACCGCGTTGACGTGTGGTTTGTATGCTCATACAAACCACAAGCGTAACACGACCACGGCCGCATCGTCGCTCGCACTCACTTTTCGATTCGACTCGCCATGTGCATTCGCTTCCAAGCTCTCCTCGCTCTCCTCCTCGTGACGGTCTGGACGAGCGTCGTCGGTGCGGCGACCTGCACCGCCTTTGTGGCCGACACCGACTACTTTGGCAACGACATTGCGTCCACGTCCCAGCCGACGGCTGCCAACTGCTGCAACGACTGCGCCGCGACGCCCGGCTGCATTCTGTACGTCTGGACCAACACAAACGGCGGCACGTGCTACCTCAAGAACGCCCAAGGTCCCGCGTCCAACAAGCCCGGCGCGCAGGCCGCCGCGCTCACGCGCAGCTCGTGCTTTAATTTTCAGTTCAACGTCGACTACCCGGGCAACGATATTGCGTCGACGCTGCGTGCCTCTCCCAGCGACTGCTGTGGCGACTGTGCGACGACGCCGGGTTGTGTCTTGTACGTCTGGACGAGCCAGAGCGGCGGCACGTGCTACCTCAAGAACGCCCAGGGACCGTCGATCAACAAGGCAGGTACGCAGTCGGCGCGTCTCGCACCGAGCTCGTGCTCCAACATCCAGACCAACATCGACTACTTTGGCAACGACCTCAAGGCGACGTTGCGGCCGGCGGCGAGCGACTGCTGCCGCGACTGCGCGGCCACACCCCGCTGCGTCCTGTACGTCTGGACGAGCACGAACGGCGGGACGTGCTACCTCAAGTCGGCTCAAGGCGCGGCATCCAACAAGCCGGGCGCGCAGTCGGGGTTCCTTGGCAACGTCGCCCCGCCACCAGCTTGCTCCAACCTTCCGAACAACCTCGACTTCTTTGACAATGACATTACGTCGACGGCCCAGACCAACCCGGCCAACTGCTGCGGCGACTGCACGGTGACGCCTGGCTGCGTCCTGTACGTCTGGACGAGCCAGAGTGGCGGCACGTGCTACCTCAAGTCGGCCCAAGGCGTGCAGTCCAACAAACCCGGAGCTCGGGCCGGTGTCCACAACGGCCCACCGACCTGCAGCGCACCGCTGGCCAACACGGACTATACGGACCAGGACTTGAGTAACGTTGGAGCGACGTCTGTCAACCAGTGCTGCGCGGCCTGCCTCGCTGTCGCCGCTTGCAACGCCTACAGCTTCAAGG